CTAAAAATTCGCGTTGATTTTTGAGAATTCCTATTCAGAATTCATATATTCACAATTATTTTCATGAAACAAATTTTTCATACATTTTTTATGAAAATATAGTTCATTCCATGATAAAAACATTACAAAGTAAATTCATTCTGTCAATTCGTCGGCCATGATTTTTTTTCTGCCGTTTGCTAACATTTTAAAATCATATAAAATTGAAAATAAAAAAATTCAATTGTTCACAATTGTGGTTGTTTGAGATTGAAAATGAGAATGTGTGTGTGAGTTTGAGTTATGGATTTTAAAATTATATTGTTGGCAAACGTCACACTGTCTTTCAATGGTTTTACCTTGGTATATTTTTATCATGTTTCATTCTATAACATGTACCATATAAATTAAAGTTTCACACCTTGTATAAAATTCAACAAATTCGTTATCAAATTTTCGACTTTTCAATCAGAATTTTTAAAAACTTTTCGGATAGGCATTTTTGTAGCCCATTTAATTTCAAAAGGGCAATTCATCAAAATGCGTAAATGCCTTGTAATCGCGTAAATTTCATTAATATACCGACTTTCTATACAAAATTAAGTAATTGCTTAAGTAGTTGACTTTATAACAAACACCATTAATGCTCTTTTCAAACTTTGTGCAAAGGTTATGAAATCCAGCAAATTTTAACCAAAATTTCACATTTTTTTAAGAATTTTTCATACGCAGTTTTATATTATCAATTTCAGTTTAATAATAATATGAGTTTTCAATATGGTTTGGAGTGCAGAACTTAGGTTAATATGGTTGGAAAAATTTACACGGAAAATATTGTACATTTCAAAAAAATTGTTAGGCGCAATGGTACTCACTGTTAAATTATTTGTGTTTGTAGAAGAGCTTCATACGCGGAGGGAGAATCGCAGGAAGTAGTTATTAGCAAGCATTTGCTATACTTTATTTGTAGAGACAAAAGACCATTTGATGTCGTAAAAGGCGAAGGGTTCAAAAAACTCCTGAAGCTTCAGTGTCCTGCCTACAACATTTGCTCTGTAGACGCCCTAAAGACGAGACTAGATAACATTTATAAAATCA